AGACAAGTTTCTGTCCTTTTGTTCTTCAGTCTAGTTGTGGAGGATGTCGCTTCATTGGCCCATGTTGGTATGATTATTGCATTCTTCCCGGGTGAGGCAATCGGTCGCCGGCCACTGGACAGCTGCTCATGGAGGCTCATGGCAGCTCATGCCAGCTGCCGGCCACTCATGCTGGCTGATGGCCGCTCACAGTAGTTCACGGCAGCCCACTGCAGCCCCACTGCAGCCTACGCCATTGCTGGCTGCTCACGGCAGCCCAGCTTCAGGTCTAGCTGTTGTTCACCATCTTTAACTGTAGAGGGCACAGCGTCACTGGCCTTCATGTGAGATCTGAACTGTGGCACTGCTGCTCAGAGCTGGCGTCCCAAGCCAGCTCTTAACCAACACACCGCACGGCTGGCCCCAGGGTGATGTTATTTACATTGTATTCCTGGGCTAGCACAGAGTCTCATAAGCAGTTGGCACTTGATATTTTTTTAAATGAATGAATATTTTTAAATCTAATTCTAGTAGCAGTGCAGAAGATGAAGTGGAGGGAGGAAGGAAAATTCAGATAATTTCAGAAACTATTGAAAGATAAGGATCTAAACTAAGGGAATAAGAGTGAGGCTTAAGTTTCTTTAGGTTTTACTAAAATCTTCATTGCTGTAGTTAACCATCTTTGTGTTAATTCTGTTATTTTGTTCTGAAGAACAATACATGTAGGTGTTTAGAGTGAAGAAGACAGACATAGTCCCCTCATGGAACAAAGTGGACCACCCCACTTGGTGTTGCCTCCTCTTCTTCCTTAGGGAATCTCAAAACCTGGGTGTGTTTCTCACACACTTTCCCCAGAGGGTCTTTGTATCCCAGAGTTAGGGTGAGCCCTGCTTCCCACCACTGATTATGTTTACTTTTTTTCCCAGCCTGATGACCGTGGTACAATCAATGACATCTCTGTGCTGAGAGTGACCCGACGTGGGACCCAGGCTGATCATTTCACACAGACAGCCCTGACCCCTGGGACTGAGGTCCGGGTCCAGGTGGACTGGGAACGGAGGTTTGACCACATGCAGCAGCATTCAGGTAGGTGGGATGGCATAAGGGACCTGCATTAGGGGCAGGTGTTGTGAATGCAGATGCCACGATGATTGAGATATGGTTTGGGGTCTCTAGGAGTTAATCTTTTGAAAGAGACAGACATATTCAGAATCAGCTCGGATCGAGGCAGGATATAAATGTTATAAAAGGAATGTGAACGATTACAGTAAATGTATTAGAATAGCTGCTGGGTGTAACTATTACCAACTTCTCACTTGGTATCTTTATCTGGATGTCTCATATACTTCTTAAACTCAAAATGTCCAAAATGGAATTACAAAGTCACCCTTTCCCCCAGACCTGGTATTCTGTTAGCATTCTCTGTGTTCTGTGCATGGTGTCAGTGTCCACTCAGTTGCTGAAATCCTGGAGGCAGTCCAGACACCTCTTTGGGGATAGCCAGTCAGTTACTGAGTCCTGTTGGTTTATTTTCTGAATATTTGTCTACATCCTTCCATTGTCATTGCGATAATTCTAAGCCCAGCTCTCATTGTCTTTCTCTAGATCTTTGTAATAGTCCCCAAGCCCTGGCGCTTGTCTGCTGCTNCCACTCGGCCGGCCCCTCCAGAACCTTTTAGATATTTGCGAAGATAAAAATTGTACCTGGTTTTATTTGCTTTTAATTATGAGACTGCTCATTGTTTATTTTTATTAGTGACTTATATTTCTTTTAATGTGCTTTGTCCATGTCTTTTACCCATTTTGCTATTGACATTAGTCCTTAAGGCTTTTAAAAAAACTGATCACACAAAGCTATATTTGAATCATGCTTTATAATTTACTATTATATATTATCTCATTAACATTTTTTGAACCTCATGTCAACCCTATAAAATAATTAGGTCCTTTTGCATAGGTGGTCAAACAGGTCACAATAAGTGGCAAAGTTGGAACTTGACTTTTATAACATGTCCCCTTATCCACAATTCTGAAAACCGAAAATTTCTGAAAACCAACTTAAAATTTGACACCAAAATTCATCTGACACCAAAACATGACCTAAAATGATGTGAGGCTATCTATAGTCTTCGTTTATTCTCTTTAGTGTATTTATATCTCAGCATAAGTAATGCATTTGAAGCACCTCCGGCCAGGCATCCGTGCCACTTTCTCCTGCTTCATCCTCTCTCAAGTAGCCAATAAAGGCATAGACTTATAAAAAAATAAAATAAAATTAATGGGTTTGATTACATGATGTGCCCCAGAGTTCCAAACGGAGTGCATTTCGTAACACATGGAGTATGCTCTGCATTACTGCCTAAAATCTGAAAAATCCTTAATTCTGAAACATCTTGAAGTCTTCAAGCTTTTTATTAGTTGATTTGAAAGAGCAGAAAGAAAGTTAATTTTAACTTTTAATCTGTTTAAGATTTTAAGGCAATGGTTGCAGTTTAATTTCTGGTAACCTCTTTATCTACACTGTCCAATTAGCACTAATCACAGGTGGTACTTGTAATGTGGCTAGTCTGAACTGAGATGTACTGTAAGTGTAAATAAAATACCAGGTTTTGAAAATTTTGTATGGAAAAGCTTATTTTTAAATACCCATTATATGATTAAAAATACTTTGGATATGTTGATTTAAATAAAATACATTATTAACATATGTGGCTTGCATTACATTTCTATTGGGCAGCACGGCTGTGTGTCCAAGCCAATGTCTTCCGCCCTCTACCCAGCCGGGATTCCGCGGGGCCGAATTGCACACATCCCTGGGGCCCAACGGGCTAAACTAAGTGCCCTGACAAGTTCAGGACGCCGTTTTGTTTTGTTTTGTTTTGTCCACTGGTCCTTTTCAAAGTCTTGAAACAGTTTCTCAACAACCCGAATAGCTACAAATCGCGTTTTCAATAAAGGTGTCCCAACCACACCCCATTCCTTGCTCGCTTGCTTCTACGCAGAAACGCGCCTGTACTGGGATTGTCCCCCGTCGGCTCCCGTCCGCCCGCAGGCGTTTCAATGTGCGCGGATCCCCGCGTCCTGGGAGACCGCAGCGATGGCGTTCCGGTGTCAGCGGGATAGCTATGCCCGGGAGGTATGGCTGGCTGGGCGAGGGACCTAATGCTGCCGGGCGGATGGGGGCGGTGCGGAAAGAGGGCGCTGCGTGGAAAGAAAACCCAGGTAGATTCAGCCCTGGTGTACTGAGGGCCGGGGTCGGGGCTTATTCTCTTACCCGTCTGTCTAGTTCACCACCACCGTGGTCTCCTGCCGTCCCGCAGAGCTGCAGACCGAAGGAAGCAATGGCAAGAAGGAAGTGCTGAGCGGTTTCCAAGTGGTACTGGAAGACACGCTGCTTTTCCCCGAGGGCGGTGGACAGGTACCAGGGCCGTCCTTTCCCTCCTCTCCTCCCCACCCCTCCCCCTCTCCCTTCCCTGGAAGCTCCTAATTCTTTTCTGCCCAGGTGGAAAATGCATTCCTGTCGTAATGAAAACAAATGGAGGTTAGTTCAGTTCAGCCTATTTGTTTATTTAATAAATGTTTATCTTAGTTATAACATGCTGGGTCCAATCCAGATTCTAAAGATAAGGAGTGAACATGACAGTTTGTTTGCTTACGTAGAATATTTATTGGAGAAGACAGACAGAACTGTGAATAGATAAATAGTATGCCAGGTATGATAAGTGCTATAAGTAAAATTAAAGCTTGAGGGAAAGAGAGTGATGGCATGTGCCTCCTAGGTGGAGGCAAGTTATTTCAGGAGAGACCTAAGGGAAGTGAGGGGGTAAGCCATTACAATTGTTTGGGGGTGCTGGTGGGGGAGCGGGGGAAATTCCAGGCAGCAGGAATAGCAGTTGCAAAAGCCTCGAGGTAGGAATTAGCTTATGTGTTTGACAGGGACTGAAAAAGATTCCCCTGAAGGAGCAGAGAGAGGGAGCCAACTTATGAGTGCTGTGATGGGGTAGCAGCAAGGTCCAGTGTGAACATGGGAAAGGAGGATAATAACACCGAAGGTGGGCTTTATGGGAGAGGCTTTTCCAGCAGAGATAATACAAAGGCAGGGAAGCCTGAAAGAATCTGACAAATCTAGTTAGCTACAAATAGTCAGATGTAGTTGGAGTCAATGGTGTGTGTTGATGACAGGTTGAAGATGACAATGGAAAGGTAAGTAGGGGCTAGTTCAGAGGGCCTTGAAGGATATATTAAGGTGTGTGGACTTCATTCAGGAAGCTATAGTGAACCATGAAAGTACGCAGGCAAAGAAGTGACGTAAGAGAACATGTTCAGTAAACTTGAAAGTGCGAAAGTTTCAATTTCATATCAGTGTCATCATTATTAAAGTGATATTCCCAACATGGAAGTTTTCTGATCTGCTGAAGAAAATCTGTGACCTCAGGCAACCATAGAAGGTTTCATTTTATACATCACTTCTTTCAGGAAGTTTTCCCTGATTCCCCAATACTGTTAGGCCTCTGTCCTTTGAGCTCCTCTAGAACGTGTACCTTATCATATTATGGCATGTTGTAGATCATATTGCAGTTACTTGTTTGCATGTTTGTATTCTCCAGACTCTGAAGTTCCATGAGGGGTCATGTCTTTTTTTTTTTTTTTTTAAGATATTTTATTGGGGAATTGAGGGAGGGGAACAGACAAGTTTCTGTCCTTTTGTTCTTCAGTCTAGTTGTGGAGGATGT